AGCCACATGGTGGATGTCTGGTTTGAAAGAAAACAACCCCATGGCTGGTCTTCACACATTCGAAGAACGCCTTAAGCAGATCGAGAGCGTTCCTAAATCAGTCATGAACTGGGATAACTTCGAAGTGGATATCCTGGAGCTCGTGGTAGATGAGACAGGCGAAAAAGCGGTGGTGGAGGCTGCAGTCCAGATCAAAGAGGAGGATGGCGAATATCGATACAAGAATCAAGTTATATTCCTAATTGAAGTGAAGGAAGGGAAGATCCAGAGGGTTAAAGAGTATTTGGACTACGCCCCGATTGCGAAATATATCAAAGAGAAAGAGGCGAAATAAGGAGGAGCATAGGTTACTGGAGTTGTTTGAAACCCAATTATGTTGATTGTCGTCAAACTAGCGCACTGCTTGAGATATCTCTTCCCACAATTTTTTCCACGCTGAACCCTATCATTGATCTCATCAACTCCTGTAAGCGAGCCAAATTCAAAATTTATGTCTACACAAACCAATACGATTACGTATATATTTCATCTCAAACGACTTTCGATTACTCAAGGGGACACAGTCAGATCTTGCATTACACCTTGAGTGGCCCTACGCCGGGCGCCGATCATAGAACGCAATAAAGCTAGCACCTCAAATCACTCACCTACATACAGCTAAATTTGAGGTATTTAGTAGCCAATTTTTACTCATAATTCCTAATTGTCAGCATCTTCCTTTGAGGACTTCATCGGAAGATGATAAAGCGCGAGGATGAGCATGGAAGCATTTTCTCATACCTCGCAGAATGCGTCGACCCAAGTGGTAAGAAGTTCAATATCTTGCCCAGTCCAGTAAGTACTTTTGACAAGCGGTGAGACTTTTGGAGGACTAGAGTACCTATAAAAGCGCTGGATTCTTAGAGACGAACGATAACTCAAACATCCCGCCCAGTTCTACTGTGAGCCCACTGAACGCCCGCTATAAAATGTCAACAAAAGCAGCGGCGACCGAGTCTTTGGTACGCGAGTTTAGCACTCTTCTCTCAGCACACAAATTACCAGAGGTGGCTTCTTTCGCGGCACCTGGAGCGACATGGTGGTTGGCTGGATTAACAGAAAGCAACCCTATGGCTGGTCTTCACACTTTCGAAGAACACATCAAGCAGGTCGAGGGTATCCCAAAGTCGGTCATGAACTGGGATAGGTTGGAGTCGGACATTGTGGAGCTCATCGTTGACGAAAAAGGTGAAAAGGCAGTGGTGGAGTTTGCAATCAAGCTGAGGGAGGAGGACGGAGAGTACCGATATAAGAATCAGGCTGTGATGATAATTGAGGTGGAGGAAGGGAAGATCAAAAAGGTTAAGGAGTTCATCGACTTCGCTCCATTCACGAAGTACATCCAAGACAAGGGGACAAAATGAGGGTGGATCTGAAGGGGCTGTCCTACAGCTAGATATCCGTTGCCTAAGCCCTTTCCAACTCGTTGAGCATATGTTAATTGTATTCATTCCGATGTCCACACAACCAGTGCGATTACGTGGCATCACAAACCTGAGCGATGTCTAATTAGAGGAGTGTCTGAATACGGACATAAGCGATTGAATCGCCTCATGCTTGTGGGTCCCGATGAAGGCACGTATAAGGGTTTGACGCCGCTGGTAATTGTGTGAACCTCTCCCTCAGCTTCTACCGCTTGATTAGCAGACAAAGTGCCCACTAGCCTCGATCTTGAACATGTCAGACTCAACTGTAGCCACTGAGTCTCTCGTTCGCAAATTTATTACCCTCTTTGGCTCGCACAAATTTCTCGATACACTCCCACTTGCAGCACCTACCGCTACATGGCGGATTTCTGGAATCAAAGAACAAAACGTGGCAGCCGGTCTGAAGTTGTTCAAAGAACATATCCAAGGCATGCTAGATGTGCCAAAAGAGATCCTCAACTGGGAGAGGCTTGAAATTGATGTTGTGGATCTTTTGGTCGACCACAAAGGCGAAAAAGCAGTGTTGGAGGTTGTTGCCAAGATCAAAGATGACGATGGCGTGTATCGGTACACGAATGATGCGGCATTCATTTTTGAGGTGAAGGAGGGAAAAATTCAGTCAATCAGGGAGTATATGGATTTCGCACCGGTAGCCAAGTATATTACGGAGAAGAGGGAGAGAGAAGGAATAGAGTAACTCACCAATAACGACGCAGTCGTTGACTCTATATTTTGCGCAGACATGTCCAATTCAAGTTTATTCCCGCTTGGCGACGCTGATCACACGTCCTTTTATCTCAAGAAACAAACTCCAAGGTTACTAGTATGCGCGTTTTGTAGAACAAGTTTCGTGGAGGTGGTTTCGAACAGTGATTACCCTTTTCGGCAAATGAACCACGGCTCGATCAGTTGCATTGATCGTGTTCTGTTACCGACCGCCATGACGTTGAATGCTATGATGAAAACCGGTCTCCTTTTCTCTATAAAATATCTCTGGCACCACCAAATTTACTGACACTCTCTTTCCTCACCACTGCTAATTGCAATGCCCTCCGCTCAACAAAGCACAAAACTGCGCGTGCTCATCGTCGGTGCAGGGGCTTCTGGCATGTCTGCTGCTTATGCGTTCTCCCAACACCCGGATCGATTTTCCGTGAAAGTGTATGAACGGTCCTCAAGCTGCGGAGGAATGGCTACCTCCCATCCCATTGACGCGTCAAAGTACGGGGCTTCGTATATCAACGATGGCGTTCAAGGTGCAAGCCCTGTGTTTCACAACACCTACGCAATCTTCGAGAAGCTCGGGTACAAGGCATCAGAGGTTGATATGCAGGTTAGCTTTGGAAAAGATCCAGAGAAGGACTTTTGGACCAACGTCTTCCCAAGCCGAGTCATTGACAAGTGAGTAATACCTTGGACTTGGTTCTTGCTTGCTTAACGAATGAGTACAGACACAAAAACGACATTAAGAAGTTTGGAAAGGCTTTGAAGGTCATCAAGTTTCTCGAGCCTTTGTTCGCCGTCATTTCAGTCAGTGCTATGCTTCGCATGTTTGGTTTCTCGAAAGTATGTTCGCTGGCGTTGGTCATCATTAGCTTGCGACTGATGCAGGTGGTATTTTAGGAATTCGGGGATGTAATCGTCTTCCCTCTTGTTGCTCTCTTTTTTGGAACTGGGAATCAAACTCCTTTTATCTCTTCCGCAATTCTAGAGCGCGTGTTCATGGATCATAACATGCGACTAGTAAGTATATTGCTACTACTGTTTGTCATATGTCACCCATCGACTCGCCCTTCGTATAGTTCGAATACTCACCGAAAACCTTTCTCGCTACAATTCCGAAGATGTGCGCATTCCCGTGCCTCTCAGACCTTTACTCTACTTGGAAGAGTGTTATCGAAGCGCAATCCACTCCTTCTGTGACAGATAGAAGCCACGAACCGCCAGCACCTGCTGTTCAGATCACACTCAGTCGTGAAGTTACTCATATCAAACGCCACTCAAATTCATCTAATGCTCGAGGCTCAGTTGAGGTTTGGAGTCGACCTACAAAAGGCACTGGAAACGACCAGATGGTCATTGAACCTGGCGAAGAAGAGAAAGAAGAGTTTGATGAGATTATTATCTGTACGGATGGAGACGCAGCTTTGAAGATTCTAGGAGATGATGCGAGCTGGCTTGAGAAGAAGATTTTGGGCAATGTTATAGTGAGTATCAAGTTTCTCCCCCTCGTGATCGAACTAAAGCTGTACCGCAGTACCTTTGGGATATAACCGTCACGCATAACGACATCGCTTACATGGAGAAGGTAATTTTTTTTGGAGAACATCTGGTTTGAGATCGAATTGATCAAATTTGTAGTACTATCGCCTGAAACATTCTGAAGAACTTGAATCACAAGAAGATCGAGAATCAGATGAAAGGAAGAAACAGTTCTCGTACGCAAAAGATAATTTCCGGCCCCTATACTTCATCCGCAGTATGCCAGAGGATAAAAAGAAAATCGAGATGAGCTTTGATTTGACGGTCTATCAGCCCCAAGTAAGGTTCATTACTTTGGAACTTCAAAATACCTACTGACCTTCATTTAGTTCGATGGCGTGCCACCTTCCGGACCCGGTGTCCAAGCCGCCGACAAGCAGCCAGATGACATACAACCAGCAGACGATAGCCAACACTCTGAGTCTACGTCCAATCATCCGGCTAAGATTCCAGGTTTCCTTAGCCAAGAGGAGTCCAAGAAAAGCAGAATCCCACTGGAGAATCACGTTTTTCAAACAATTTTCCTCGATAAAGAACCTTCAAGCTCTCAGTATTGGTCAAAGGACGAGATAAATGCGGATAAAGTCAGTTTCTTCGCAAAAGATGAGACTTCGCTTTAATGACCCACTTCGCCAGGTAATCCTTGAGAAATGGTGGAAGCAACAGTCCCACCGATGGCAACATTACGCTGGAACGGTCCCTTGGATGGGCCTAATCAATGGAAAAGTGAGTTTGATGCTTCCAACTTCTACGCCTACTCATTGTACCACCTCTGTCAGTATCATACTCGCTTCGCAGGTGCATGGACGATTTTGAGTACGTGGAGAATGTGAGGACTGATTTTCTTAGTACTAACATCGTTTCATTTTCTCAGACATGCACGAAATAGCCGTCGTGTCTGGCTTCGCGGCGGCCTATCAGTTGGGTGCATCGTAAGTTGGAGTTTCATCCCAGCTCATCGTTACTTTCAATGCAACTACAATTGATCTAGATACCCTTTCACTGATGATCCAAACTGTAAACGCCTTTTTGCCTTGTGTTTGGCGGCCAACCATATGGTGCGAATGGTAGGCTTAACCCTGTCATTTGCCTTCGGTTTTTGGGCTGAATACTTTACAGAGAAAAGAGGACCGATCTGGTATTTTCACGTAGAATAATCTGTACTGTAAAATAATGTCCTGCCAAAAGAAACGTGCATCACCACTTCGAGAATCTTGATTGACTTCACAAGATTTAGCAAGTACTGTGGATATCTGAAAAGCCAAAAAGCTATGACAAGAGTGGGACTTGAACCCACGCAGACATACGTCTATGAGAAGACTTTGAACCCAGAAACTGGGCAAGCTAATGCTTGAGTCACACGCCTTAACCGCTCGGCCATCTTGCCTTGTAAATGTGCAGACCCTTGGCCTTGAAGTTGCTAAAATAAATGGGCCAATCCATATGATTGTATTTCTTGATTTTCATGGAATTATACAGACAGTCATTCGTTGAAGCATCTAGAAAGCCTATGTATTTAGTTTGTGAATAAATTAAATCTAAATAAATAGCTTAGTGGGATATCAAACTCTCCGTCGTTCTAGCACGAGTATCTTTGAGAAATCTAACTAAATCCGTTCCTCCTGTCCCTTTAACCCCTTGCGTATCCATCTTTGTATCCCGATTAGAGGTGCTGTCCTCTGAACCTGCGCGTCGATCTGCAGCCAGCTTTGCAGCTCTCCTTGCTGGGCCCAATATATATAGCGTCGCAATAATCATATGAGCGTCTCTAAATTCCTTGAGCGCTACAACCGCCTTGTTATACACGTCCGTAAGTTCTACATCATTTTTTTCCATCACAAATATCCGAAGCGGTCGCGGGTTCGCTTTTAAATGGTCGAGGAAGAGACGGTGATTCCTAGGCATGTACTTCTGCATGCGCGACATGAATGGAGCGCGGCCCGGAGAGGTTGGTTGGTGGTCTACCCCCAGAAATATGTCGAGCACATGGATCAAAGAGCTCTGGCCGGCACTTGGACCAGACAATTCTGCGGGAGCAGATAAACGCGGATCATTCTCAAGACCTTCAAATACCCATTTCCGAGGTTGTTGTCCCGGCTCAACCGAATCTTCACCTCTGAACCATGGCCTAACCTCGTTATAGTAGATGTCGGGATCGCAAAGTTTCTTGACATCCATAAGGAGCATCTTGAGATCCCCGACGACTTCCGCAATCGTATCAAGGTATTCTACTAGCCGTCGCACTGTAATGTCGTCACCGACGAATGTTTCGTCCATGGTCAAGCGCATGAGCTCAAGGATTTGAACACCTCGAAGTTCAATTCGCGCTGAGCAAAGGTAAAACTCTTCCTCATCTACTGAGTTGGTAAACATCGTTGCTGTTCGGATGTTGTCCAACGCTGGGATGGCTCCTTTCGAGTTTGGCTGGATCCGGAAATCCCAGTTGTACAGCACAGTGTCGGAGAATGTTAGAAGAGGAGGGATGTCCAAAAATTTTGAGATTCGAAGCATGGGTAGTGAAATGGACGAAGGGATGACGATGGGTTCGTCGGGTGGAAGGCTTTGGACGTAGAAGTGAAGCAAGAACGCGAGGACCAGATGCGCTCGCCGCAGAAGCTCAGGAAACTTCTCGAGACCTGATTCGGATAGTTCGTGCATCTGCGATGAGTTCAGTATCCATCCGGATATCAGTGGAACGAGAAACTCACAGCACGAACAGACACCCTCCATTCGAACGAAATTTTGGCCTCTTCCGGAGTTGTTCCTAAGGCATCACCCAGCTTTATCTTTGCTGCCACCGCACGATCCAACATGTCCTCCCAAGGCTCCCAAGACTCCGGAAGGCGCGTCACAGGAGGGCGCGGGGCCATAAAACCGGTTCTGTTGTCGACATCAAAGTCCTGGGCGATAGGAATAGAAACTTTGAGACCGTCTATCGAATAGTTTGTCTCCATTTAAAACTGTAAATGTGGTGATATAGAGCGAAAGGATGATAGTTATAGTGCAGACATGGTGATGCAGTGTTTGGTTTGATACCTCCGAACGCAAAACGATCGGGTCTTACCCGACGCTCCAGCCATCTGGAATGTTTCTGGCAATGTGGCTTGACATCAAAAGGCGGTGAACGCGGGTGGAAAGACTATATATGGACATATACCCTGTCCTGGTTTTCAGAATGTTGTGAAGCGGGCAAAATGGATCAAAGTGAATCGCAAGCAAGAATGTGAAACTATTCTCATGTATATTTGAGTTTGATAAGTAGATAAATGCGAGTTGATACGCCGATGTCAACAAGAAAATGTGGCAAGTATGAAGATCCTATATGTTTCAAGTGTAATTGCACTTTTAGCGCCAGGCACACCGTTCTGCATTGCACCTACCTCAATACGGGTTTGTAGGGCCATAAGTCGGTGTAGGTGTGTAGGTCTTTCACCTGTCACATCACATGCCAATTATGGCGAAAGAAGCTAGAAGCTATTTTGATTGACGCTCGTCGAGCGGTGAACCATTTCGTGAGCGTTCGTGGCAGGTTGGTGGTGAGAGACACAGCTCAAAGAACGCCAAGTTATCTTCTTCGGCACTGTAACAAGATTAGATTAGATGTATGATGGGATCACTGCGCGTTGCTGACTGTAGCGTTGGTTCACAAATTTACGTCTTGAACATGCATCCTGTCATCTTACTCCTTGCCTTAGACCATTGCTATCTGCGTCGTCCTACCTAGCAAGGCCACAATCACCGCACAATGAACTCTCTGGGCGATGCTCATTTTCTTTCTCTGCCCAGGCCCGATATCTTGGTTGGCGTTCCTGCAGGGGTCGCTGATACAACAACACTTGCGGCGCACGATTTCGATGTCGATACGAGGACCGGCTTCATGCCTCCTCAAGGACCTCTTTCTCGATTACCAAACTTTTGGGAATCATGGGAGAAGGCATTAGATTTAGCCATGTCCTCTGGCCTTCAGCTTGGGCAGAAATCTGGGCTCACGGAATCGGATAGGACCAACTCGGAAGCATGGAGATTCACCGTACGGCAGGCGAGTTGACTAATCCCTTCATCCATGGTGCCATACAGAACTCTAAAACCCCTTCTCTCTTCAGCTTGAAATCCTTCCGATCGAGGATTTGATCCAATCAGAAATCAAGTTACGTCGGGCACATCACGTCCTAGCTTGGATTATGCACTTCTATGTCCACTCCCTACCACCAGCAGAACCGATCATTATACCAGCCCCCATATCACTCCCCTTGCTCCGCGTATCCCGACAACTTCAACTACCACCAGTTTTGACCTATTCTGACAACGTCCTCTACAACTGGCACTTGGGCGGGGGGAAGTCGGATCGCTTACCAACGATTCATGCATTACGATGTCAAACACTATTTACGTCAACCACCGATGAGGACGAATTCTTCCTTACCTCCGCGCGAATGGAACTCGTAGGAGTGGAAGCGTTAGAACTGATGCGTTCAACTATGGACGAAATGTTCGTGGGAGACGATATTGCCATCCGTCGGATCACGGAAAACCTCCGGGCTTTGGTGCCGATCATTCACCGCCTACGAGAAACATTATTACAGGTGAAGAAAGGCTGTAAACCGCAGACGTTTTATCACGATATTAGACCTTGGTTTCGTGGCCAAGACTCACAACCTGGACGCGAGTGGATCTTCGAAGGCATCGAGCAAGATCCTACACTCGTTCCCCCAGTCGAACTCTCTGGAGCCAGTGCAGGACAGAGTGCTCTCATCCATTCACTTGATATTTTTCTTGGAATAGACAAGTTCTCTCATCGCAACGATATGACCGCCAAAGACATCGAAAACGCGATGGCCGCGGAACACCGTCGCGCTGCATTCCTCGAAAGGATGCAACTATATATGCCCCGTCACCATAGAGCTTTCCTAAACCATTTATCTTCCAATCGATTGCGACTACGCGAATTTGTCCTTTCGGCGGTTGCTGGCACCCTGCCTGAGGCTTCTTCCGACGATGAAACAAGCCCAAAAGACAAATCTGCCCTCCTTGAGGCGTACAACATGGCCGTAACTGCCCTCAAGGAGCTGCGCGATGCTCACTTGATCATCGTCACCCTATACATCATTGGACCTGCCCGTCGTGGCGCAGATCCTGGCTCCAGAGCAACCCCAGATTCCAAGCCGACAGAGGAGACTAAAGCCCCACTCAAGGGAACCGGGGGGACAGATCTCGTTCGTTTCTTAAAAGGAGTACGGGACCAAACGAAAAACGCCTTACTTCCTAATTCAACCTAGCTCACCACACGCCCTACGATAGAAATTTTACGCGAGATTCACGATAAAGTTTTTGAAATGTATTACCATCTTGTTGTAACACAAATCAAAAGAAAATCTGCGGAGAACCGGTACCGAAAAATATGGCTTATTGTCTCTGGAGGTTTTCCTTTTGTCTTTGGCTCTCTTCGCAACTCACGGTGTATCGGCAGCTCCACTTTCCTTGGATGCTTAGTCGCCTTTTCAATCTCGTTTTTTGACAATCATAAACATGAGCTTAAGCAAAAGGCGTTGCTACCACGCTGATTCAGTCGCCTAGTTCCTCAGAGTTATGACCCAGTGGTGTATCGCTTAGAAAGAAGACTTTGTATTTTAGCGAAGGGCTTATCACGCTTAAAAATCTTATACGCTGCAACAATTTCTGCAGTATACTGAAGAGTAAACAGGGTGTGGTGTACGTGCATGGGCTTGCTTCGATGAACCTTCCCTGCCTATGCGCTTTGTTCTCAAAAAGTTAATTTCCAAATGGGTACAAGCACCATTGCCTTTCTGGGTTTGGCTGCACCTGCCTTGAAACGCCCCCTGTAAAACTCTATGAGCTAGCCTCTGCCGCTACGTAACGGATGGGAAAAGAAATATGAAAGGCACAGCTAGTTTTTATGTTCTTACACTGTTAAATCTTCTGATTGGTTTAATCAGAAATCTTTTACTAGGATGACCCTAACAAATCAAGTCAAAAACTAGCACAAACAGGGTCGTTATGCGCTGCAATGATGATTGATGCAACACGTGAAACACAAGTCCTTGTTCTCGATGTTCAAGTTTCACATACCACATCCGAAATACCAGACAGAATGAGTCCAAAAGCTAGACTGTACCGTCCTACAGCAACGATCTAAATACAACTGTGATTTCATATATGTTCTCTACCAATCACAACCATTAAGATCGAAATAGCACGCAGCTACCCTCAAAACCTCAGTTTCACGCTTCACTGATCAGGATTCACAGGGTTTGCGCTGCGCGATGGGACAGAATCACGCACAGGGATTCAAATACGAAATCCGACTCTTTCGAATCAAGGACTGTCCACCTCGAGGTTATTGCCTTGCATTCATATATGTGGGTCCAG